GCCCAGGTCCACACAGAATGAGAGTGCTCCACGTGACCTGAGAGAGCGCAGGGACAGAGCCTCGGAGGAGCTAGGAACGGGAAGTGTGGTGGAACCTGGCCAAGGTGCTTCCCTAAGGGGTCAGGAGCGTGCTGGGCACACCAGGGCCTTCCTCGCGCTAGCTCTCTTCTCGGTCTCCCAAGTCTACCAGTGGGAAGACAAAGTTCCATGAAGATGTGTCTTGTCCGGCCCCCGTGGTCTGTGATAAGTGGCAATTTTGAGTTTCAAAGTTGGCCATGTCCTCTCGACACCTTTACAAACACACGCACTCACTGCACCGGGCGCCAACCCCAGCTCCTTCAGGCATGGCCTGGATGGTCAGCAGGGGGCACTAGAGTCCCCCTGGTGGGATGGCCTCTTTCTCACTTGACGCAGGTTTCCTCCACTGACCAAGGATGGGGTTTGGGGTTGCCAGAAGGAAGCATTAACAAGGCGCCTGGGAGGTAAGAGACGCGAGGAGGGCACACCGCCCTGGTGCCGCTCCCTTGCCCATCGCTCACCAGAGAGCTGGACACTCCCTCCTCCCAGGTTGCCCACAGCCGGCCCCTGCCGTTCACCAGGCCCCCAGAGCCCTTCCTCCGCGAGGTGTTTCTGGGCTGGCTCCTTGGGGGCTCTCAGCTTTATCTCCTGTGCCCAACCCAGGGCCAGCCGTCGTGGGCTTCGTAAATGCTCACAGATATCTTGCCCTTGATTTTCCTGGTCAGTTCCAACCTCAGGGCACTGTTCTGCTTTGTCACAAACTTACTGAAAGAGCCCCCAAATCATAACTACCACATCTGGCAAGCTGCCTGCCTGTCACACTCGGAATGGCCCTAAAACCTCGTTTGGCCAGTGTGCCCAGACTGGGGACAGGCCATTGTCACAGAATCTGTAAGGGAGCCCTGCCAAGCTCTGGGGCCAGGCTTCTAGTTTCTAGTCTCCCTTGGCCCACCACGAATCCTGGTCACACCGGGCATTAGGGGGCAATGCACTCCGCTTTCCAGTTCAGCACGTTTGATGGCGGCATCCCAAGTTCTATGGAAAGTCCGGAACGCCACCGCAGACCGAGATTAAAGCTCTCCAGGCCCTTCCTCCTCCAGGGGCAGCCAGCTGTCCAGCGACCCCAGCCTGTCTGATGCCAGTGGCCAGCCCTGCTGACATTTCCCTAAATTTATGTGCTTGTCAGGATCTGTCCAGGGCAGAGGGGCCATGGAGGGCTCTGCCTGCCTCCGTCCACCCCAGGCCTGAGCTGCTCACTGGCTCCCCTCCCCCAGGACACGGCACCAGAGGCCCCAAGGCCCTGCCCAGGCTTTCACAACCACCAAGGGCACGGGGAACATTCCCCATGGAAGGCTCTGGGGCAGCTTGGAACCCCTCTCACGGGCACTGTGCAGGACCCTGACAGCCTGGACGGGTCCACCAGGCAACCTCTGTGGTGTGTGACCAGAGGGCTGAGACCCAGAGAGAGGGAGACAGAGGGAGAGAGACCTGAGCTCACATCTTGCCCACAGAGGCCCCCAAAGGAGCCACCCATGCTGAGCGTCCACTGGGGGAAGTCGGCCACTGGCCCCTTCTAAGTGAGGCCCGTTCAGATTTAAAAGTTGCTTTCTAAGGGTCACATAAGTCCTTTACCAGCCTTGGCTTTTTGATGGGGAGGAAAAGGGGCCAAGAGGTGAAGCCCCCCAGCCTGAGGGGTAGCAGCTCTGGGGGAAGGCTGGACAGGACCATAGCTCACGTCTTGCACAGTGGACCCTGGGGGCCAAGAATGCTCCTTCACGTCAGTGACTGGTCACCACAGCTCACACTGCACTCCGTGGTCCCAAAGCAGCCTCCCAATGGGGTGGCAAGCAGGTCACACCCTCCTATGGCACGATGGGGCATCCAGGCCGGTCCTGACTTCCACCCGACACTGGGGTCCCCCCGAGCCAACAGAGGAGAAAAGCCTAACCAGAGATGCCCATGTGTGTGGCAGGGATGGCCCCACACCACAGGGCCCCACGAGCCAGTGTCTGGTCTCCCCGGCTGAGAGCTGAGGGACCTTAGTGCAGCCCGTCACCCAGAGGGGCCGCAGCAGAGCGGAAGCCAGTTTTACTTGAAAGGGCCTCTGTCCCCTTACTTGGGGTACCCCGAGGAAAACACAAGGGGTGCTCACTCTTCCCTCCCTGCCTCCCCTTCTAGAGCACCCCCTGGGGGCTCATTACCTATGATCCCCGACTCTGACAAGCAGGCAAGCTTGAGGCCACGTTACAGAGACAGAAAGGGCCCCACGTGGCCCAGAGACTGACCCAAGACCTCAGCACTTGGAGGATCAGGACCAGAGAGGCTGAGGTGGAAGCTCACCCCCCTGTGTCCCAGCCCAGGGCCTGCCCTCTCCACGCAGCCCCTCAGACCTGGACGCCAGTCCCAGTCTCTGGGACGAGGGGTGTGCGCCCCCGCACCTGCCCCGGCGCTGATGTTCTGCACACGCGCCTACAGTGCAGGCAATGGGGTCTCCGTGGGTCACTGTCCTCCCAGGTGCCCGCACAGACCTGGATCCCAGAGGAAGGCCACTGAAGACTCGCCTTCCCTTCACCCAGCACTGCTGGCGGGGGTCGATGCAGGGGTGCCCACCTGCACCCCACTAGGGCCAGCGAACAAGCAGAGGGAGGCCCTTCCCCACAATCCTGGGTCACCTAGGGCAACCTGGAAGAGGACCCCACCACAGCATCTGGTAGGTCCCCAGGAGCCCAGGGACCGGCCCAGGCCAGCTGACCTGGAAGTGGCTGAGCTCAGTGAAGCACACTCTGAAGCTGAGATCTTTCCAGAAGGCACCCAGCACGCCCCCAGCTCCAGTCCTTGCCAGGGAGGGGAGCAGCCCCGGGTCCCCCACCTTTCCCAGCTCTATCTTTCTCCCCAGCCTCTGAGCAGGCCACTGGGTGGTGCAGGTGGTAATAAGATGACAGTCACGGGGAGAAGGGAGTCACTGAGCATCTTCCTCCCCCTCCCATCTTTACAGCGGGGGGCTCAATCCCTGCCCTTTCTAGAGAGAATGGCAGAGTCCCCTTCAACAGCTCCCCCTGGTGGGGGCAGGCTGCTGTGTCCATGGCATGGGAGAGACCAGGCCCTGGCTGCCAACCCGCCCAGGTGGAAACCGCCCAGCTCTCTGGCTAAACACCCGATTCACTGCACGCATGTCCTGTGCTCCCCACCACCTGACTGGGCTCCCCTGACCTTCACAGGCAGCTGGCCGACCCAGGCTGCCCTGGCCAGGTGGGGGCGCCCCCTCTTCAGTGCCCCCCACTCTCTTGGAGCCTTGGTTTTGGTACTTTGGCACTGGGGGTTGAACGGGGTGCTCCACCACGGAGCCACATCCCAGGCCTTTCATTTTGACCCAGGCCTTGCCAAATCGCCAAGGCTGACCTGAAGCCTGTGCTCCTCCTGCCCAGCCTCCCGGGTCTCTGGGATCACAGGTGTGCACCACTGCACCTGCCTAAGCCCTGGTGCTTCACACACACACCTAGAAGCCAGTGCAGGGGACAGGGCTTCTGTGGGTCACTGCCCCACAAGTGCCTGCACACAGTCAGCCCCACAGCCATGGCTTCCCCCAGCACCGAGGGTAGCGGTGGCTTCCACAGTGCACACCAACAGGGTGGAGGGTGACTCTGCCCCTGGCAGACAGTCTCAGTGAGCGAGGCCAACCTGCCTGCCCTCAGCTTGGGTGACACCATGACCCCTTGGGCACCTGCTCTTCTTTGGGTTTGGTGGCTCTGGGTGTGTGGGAAGTCCACATTGCAACCATGGCTGGCCTTCCCCAGTCCTCAGACTCAGAGGCTGACACAGGCCTGGGACACGGTGAACTCACAGCGAGAAGTGGCTGCGCAGCCTCGAAAGACACACACGGACTTCTCAACGTCTCAGAGAAGCGCTGCCACAGCCCGCCAGCCACCCCACAGCCCGCCAGCTACCACGTCGCCCACACGCTCTGGGATGCCGCCCACTTGCAAACCCGGGTGGAGTGGCTTTCCCCTGGCAGGGCCCAGGAAGCACACAAGAGGCTGTGTTTTCAAGTGACAAAACACATGCTGGGTAGGCACAGCAGCTGGGGGAGTCCCAGATGGGTGAGCGAGCACCCCCAGGCCACGGCCAAAACCCAGCACAGCCAGGCCTCGGCCACGTGGAGGGCACTGGGGGCCTGTGTATCGTCAAAGGAAGACACTGTCCCTGGAGCAGGAGGGGTGCAGGCCAAAAGCCCGAGACAGGCCCAGGGTCAGGAGGTCGCAACTGGGAGCCCAGGTGCTGGGGGCCCAGGTGCTTAGCCAAGCGCCCGCCCCGGGCAGACAGGGCTCAGCAGCTCACACTCCCGGGCTGGCCCAGCCTGGAGCTTCCCTGAGGCTCATGATTCTGAATGACACTCTGAGTAAAAGCAGGGGTGATGGTGGTCCAGGCGAGAACCATAGCCTGGGGGTCCTGGTGACCCACCCCACGGACACGCTGGAGGCCAGGGATAGAGAGAGCTCACAATGACACGTGGCCACACAGCCCCCGGTCTAGGACGCAGAATCTTCCACACTGTTCCCACCAGCCACTCTGGCTTTTAGGGGGCCACACCATCACAACACCCAGCAAGTCACACTGGGTCATGACTTCCAACTGTCAGTCATCGCCACCAGCTCCACTGCCTCAGAGCCTGTTCCCACATCTGCACGTTGCGAATGAGGAGACAGAGGCCCAGAGAGGTCGCCCACGGCTCACCCTGGGACGCTGGGGAGCTGAGGATCTGCCTGGCCCGGTGCACAGGCTCCACCAGAGGGCGGGCCCAGGACCCTTTGGTCTCTTGAGACCAGTGTCACCCGCCACTGGGGGTCTAAGAACCAGAATTCAGCTGATCCTCATGTCCCCACTGGAGGGCACTGAGGTGGCAGCTCCTTGACCACCCACCTGGGCCACGAGCGGGGCCCCAGGAGGTCGACACAGACAGAGGACAGCAGGCCCCAGGGACTTACGTGTCTGCGGAGCGGCGGTAGTTCTCGGGGCACTCGAAGGCCAGGCAGCGGAAGCCTCCCTGGATGTTGAAGCAGGTCTCGTTGATGGAGCAGTTGTGGATGCCGGCCACACACTCGTCAATGTCTGCGGGAGACCCCGGGCAGCGCGGTCAAGGCAGAGGCCAGGGGGGCTGTCCCCACCCCAGAGGGGGGTGCCAGGCCTCCCACCAGCCAGGGCGGGACGGGCAGCAGCACCTGGCACCAGCTCCTTCTTCTACGGGACACCTGGGGGGCTTTGGCTCATGCTCTCGGCCCCTGGGCGTTGGGAGCATAGGAGGGGGCAACTCCGGGCAGTGGTGCTGTGGCCGTCTTGGCTTGGGAGAGCTGGCAGAGCTTGGGGCTGCCCAAGGTCACCCTGCTCTAAGTGGCAGAGCTGAGCTCAAACCAGGCAGGGGGGCGCCAGCGTCCAGCACTGACCCAGCCCTCTGCACGCCCTCCCCTCACATGGGGCAAGTGACCTCCTAGGAGGGACAGGGCAGGCCACCAGCCCGTGAACAGACAGGACACCAGGCAAGGGGTTAGGGGCCCTGACTGCCCTGTGTCCTGGGGGTGTGACTGGTGGAGGGGACAGCTGGGACTCCTGCTGTGGGGCACCACCATGAAAGGCCCTGGGGTAGGGAGCCCCTGTTATCCCAGAGAAGCTGAATGTTGGGGCTCAGGGACGTCACAGAGCCTGGGAGGCATCTGCGACAAGGTGCCAAGTGCCTGGCAAAAACGACTTCCCCGATCAGCTCAGGAGTGTGATTTTGCTGTGTCCGGGGGGACCCCAGGCTGCAGTGGAGCATCTGGCCAGGAGTCATAGAAGTGAAGGATCCCATCCAACCCCAGATGCTCTAAGTCGTCCCTTGTGGGAAAAGTGGGGCTCCTGCCCCCCTTTGGTGGGTCATCTTCATGAGCAGACACCGGGCCGGGGGCTGGGCTCAGCTCCAGGGGCCGTTGCTGGGGGGCCCACGCACAAGCCAGGACACACGCTCAGACACTCACGAGAGCTCGCTTAGCGCCTCTCAGTCATCAAACGGAAGGTCATGGATGCAGGGGGCCCAGCACCCGCAGAAACGGGTCAGAGCACAGAGTGGGCCCCACCAGCCCCCATTAGCCCATGCTGGAGCTGGCCCGGCCCACTAGACCCTCGAAGCCACCTGTCCACAGACACCGCACACACCTGACCACAGCTAGCACAGAGGCCTCTGAGACCTGTTTTGGCCCAGGCCTGGCCCACAGCCAGGTTCTGCCCAGTGACCCAGTGAAAGGTAGCACCAGAAGCCCCAGGCTGCAGGGCAGGGACTGCGGTTTCCAGCCTCCAGGGCCTCTTCCTAAAGCTGAGAGTCCCTATCCCAGTCTTCTGGGACGGCCGGGCAGAGTGGGAGGGCTGAGGACCCAAAGATGAGGGTGCTGGGGGCCCGGGTGTGGGAGACCAGGGAACCAGTGGACCCCAGAACACGCCCTCCCAGGGCACCGCCTGTGCCACGGCCCACAGGTTGGGGAAGGACAGCCCTCCAGCCCGGCCTTGGCACCCTGGTGTCACAGCGCCCAAGCACAGTCCTAGGACACTCCCACAGGCTCACCTTGGCAGTTGCGGCCGTTGGGGGCCAGCCTGTAACCGGACGTGGGGCAGCTGCACTGGAAGCTTCCGGGTACATTGATGCAGCGGTAGGAGCAGATGTGGCCCCCGGTGGGCAGGGCACACTCGTCGATGTCTGCAAGGGCACACCCACTCTCAGCATCCCAGGCCCAGCCATGGCCCCCACCCCAGGGGCCAGGCTGGGCTCCACAGGAGAGCCACACTGGGTGAGCTGGACAGAGGCCTCAGGGTGCTCGGGCTGGGTGGCCTCAGAGACCATCCAGACAGAACGGGAAACTGAGGCACAGAGAGGGGATGCCTCAGGTCCCAGGACAAGTTCCCACTGTGCAGTGTGCAGGTAGGAGGACAATCAGAAGCACTTCCCCTGAAAACACAGAGTGAGCGCCCCTCAGCCAACAAGCTTGGGCCCCCAGCGTTTCAGATGTGCCTCCATATTCCACAGAGGGCCACCTTGGGGTCGGAAGCCAAGTCTGAACATGGGGTTCACTTGTGTCACCTGTGCAGCTGCACCCATCACCCAAGAGGAGTTTGTACCAGGTCTCCAGCGCACCTGCAGGCCACGCCCACCACCCGAGGCCAAGGTGGACCTTTCCACGTGGCACCAGGTCGGTGCTCAAGGAGCTTAGAATTCGGGTCAGGGAGGCTCGCCCTGGAGCAATGAGCCAGACGGTCGCCCTCCAGCCCCGTGTGCTGGGGAGTCCTCGTCTGGGTCGATGCTCCAACAGCTGCATGGGCACCAGCCCCTTGTGACAGAGCAGACTGTCAGGCCCCACGAGGGGGACAGAGCCAGGACTTCTAAGGGCTGTCAGTCTTCTGAGGGCTGCCAAGAGGGTGGTGGCCCCTGAGGCCCTCCTCGCCTCTCAGCCAGGTGCCACCACCAAGCCCTGTGACCTGCGGCTCACGGTCTCGGCACACGGACCCGAGACACCCACAGGGGCATCCGAGCACCATGGGGAGGGGTCTGCTACCTCGTGCACCCTCACCCCCACCCAGGAAGTGTCCTCAAGGAAACCTCAGACGGAGGGCGAGGAATGAGGCACGCAGCCTCCCAGGGCCGGGGAAGAGCCGCGGTGGATGGGGGAAGGCGGGAGTCTCCCCAGCACGGGGGCACCCTCACCTTCGCAGGTGACCCCGTCCACGTCGCTGAGCTGGTAGCCGCGCCGGCAGTAGCACTGGTAAGAGCCGTAGACGTTGGCACACTCCTGGCTGCAGGGACTGCTCTGACACTCGTTCACATCTGCAAGGACAGGCCCCAGTCACTGTCACCGCTCATGCCATCACAGCTGCCTCCCGACCCCTCTCCACCCCCCACACAGAAGCCAGGTCTCGGGCACATGGCCAGCAGCCTGCCTGGGGTCACCCCACAGGAACAGGGAGAAGGGGAGAGAAGCCCCCTGCCAGCCTCTGCCACGCCCCAGTCAGGCCACCTCCCCCAGGACAGTGATGACAGCCCTGAGGGCGGGCCCCATGAGGCACCAGAATCTGCTCTGGGTCTCCAGTGGGAACCTGAGCCTGTGCTCCTCCTCGCCCCCCGGATGTCATCCTAAACAGATAATGGCACGCGGGACCCAGTCCCTGGGACAATACTGATACTCCCACGCTTTGAGCTCACGGAGTCACTCAGCTGATGGCTCACTGGTCCGCTCTGCCTAGAGCAGAGATCAGTGGCCATGGTGACATGCAGCCCACTGTGGGCTTGGTGAAGAGTCGCTGGAACACAGCCACCTCCTCTGACTCTGACCAATGGCTGCTTCTGGGCCGCTGCAGCAGCAGTGGGGTGGTGACGAGAGAGACTGTGGCCGGGAAGGCCTAACAGTCACCTGAGGGAGGAGCCCTGCCCACCCCTGGCCCAGAAGGTGCCTCTCAGGTTGACTTCCTGCTACTCTGGGGCAGGGCAGGAGGGAATGGCCATTGGCCTCTCACCCGGGCTTTCATCTCGGCAGCCCCCACTGCCCTCGGGGCTCCCCCGTCCACCTGGGCCCAGGGTGGTTTCCCACAGCACCCTAGACATGCTTCCTGGTGCAGGAACCGGGTTCTTGCTCCATGCCTGGGCAAGGCGCTTTATAAATGCTTAGAGAGGCGGCTCGGCAAGGCTGGCAGGGCCCCGCTCATATCCATAGTATTGTCCAGTAGCAAAGGTGTGGACGTCTGCTCTCCAGTGGCTTAGGAATGGCCAGGGGAAGCATGAGCCAGCCACAGAGGCAACACAGCCGTCTCCACGAGTCCAGCTCTTGGTCCTGTGCCGGTGATGAGCTCATCACATGATTCAACTCATTTCCCCCAGGAGACCCCCACAGTCAGGTCAGTCCTACTGTCCCCGTTCACAGAGGAGGATGCCAACCCAGAAATGTGAGCCACTTCCTCGAGGCCACACGAACGTCAGGACTGGGATTTGAGCCCAGGCCTGAGAGAAGCCTGGCTCAGGAACCGTGTTCCAATGCCCACGGGGGTTGTGTCCGGTTCCTGGGGACACGTCCCAGAACTCTCAGGGAAGCCCAAGACCCACGACCCCGTCACACCACCCCTGATGCAGTGTGAGAATCGTGCACCGGGGCAGATGCCCAGCCCCCTCCTGGGGCCGTGTCATGGGAAAGGGCACCTTTTTCTTTTTGTGCAGCGCTGGAGATGGAGCCCAGGRCCTCGMGCGTGCCCGGCAAGTGCTCCCCAGAGCCACCTCCCAGCCAGGGAGCCTCCTTAATTCAGACTTTGAACCTGCCATGCTCCAGAGAATCTTGCCCCCTGGGTCACTGCACTGCAGAGCAGGGCACGGCGGGCACCGTGAGGCACTGGCAGGGCCCGTCCAAAGCGTTCCCAGTCCCTGCATGAGATGTGACACCTCTAGAGCACCTACCATGGGCCAGGCCCTGGCACCGGGGCAGACAGCTCAGCAGCCAGGAGAYGCTGTTTTCTGAGCACGCAGAAACRTGCTCAAACACGGGGGCTCTGCCAGCCCCACCTCAGCAGACTTGGTCAATTTTGGCACAGCGGCTACCAGAGCACGGCTGTGTCCCCACAGTGAAGACCCCACACCCCTTCCAAGCCCCTGCCTGGGAAAGCTCACGTTGCTGGAGGAATGTACTCTTCCAGCCAAAAYGCAGCAGCCGTGGCCCGACCTCCCCGTGCTGCCTTTCCCTTCAGAGAACCCTGCAACCTAAATCCTCTCTCTGCCCCTTAGACGTGGACCTTCCAGGGCCCAGAAGCACCTGTTCARGGACCCAGGAACCTTTCCCATGGACCCTTATCCTCAGGAAGCTAAGACCTGCCTCCAGTCTGTGGGTGTGGGGGGGTCTGCACCCCACTGGGTGAGCAGCGGCAGCTGGCCAATCCCAGAGGGCACCGTGGGACCCGGCCCTCTTGCCCTTGGTGCCAAACTGTTTAAAAGCTTCGCCATCGGCCTCGTGGGCAGTCTGAATATGACCCGTTCCAGGTCTCTACGTAGTGTCTGGCTTTTTTTCCTCTTTGGCATGTCAACCCATTTCCCCTGTGAGGTCAGTTGTCCCCAAGGTCACCAACAGGGGCCCTTCGTCTCTACATCCCGTGCACACAGCCACATCCCGACAACCTCCAAGAATGGAGGWTCCTGGAAGAACCGGAACCCCGTGGGAGCGTCCCCTAAGGAGCACACCCCTCACAGGTGTCTCCCTGGCTCGCAAGCCATTTAGCGGGGAAACAGAAACCAGCCTCCAGGGACCCTGTGGGAGGCGGCAGAGCTGGCCTCCGCCCACGCCCAAGCCCATTCGCACCTTCGCAGGAGCGGCCGTCCACCGAGAGCCGGAAGCCCACGGAGCAGCTGCAGTGGTAGGAGCCGGGAGTGTTCTCACACTTGTGGCCACACAGGCGCCCGGGGTAGCGCTGGCACTCGTTGATGTCTGGAAGAGAGTGGGGGCAGCTCAGGGCACCGTCACCAGCAGAGGGCCACACCTCACCCTCCTGCTAATGGCTGCAGTTCACGGCYCACTTGCTTCATCAGCTCTGATGACAGAGGCAAAGTGACTTGTCCCAGCACAGCAGCAAGGCCAGACCCYCCTGGCGTCCTGTGCCAAGCCCTGAGCTCCTGACATGGTGGCATATATGGACAGTGCCCTCCCATGCCCTTAGGGAGGGTCCACTGGGATCCRGCAAAGGGGATGTGGCGGGGAAGCCCCTGCCAGCCCCCACTGAGCACCCTGGCTGGGGGGGAGCGGGGACTGACCCCATTCCTTGTCATCTTTGGCTCCTGCTGCCAGGGGCACCTGCAGGTCAGAGCTCAATCTTGGGAAATCACTAGCACTTCAGCCACCTGCAGACCTGGGCTCAAGTCTCTCAGGACCTGGGGGTTGGGGTGGAGCAGAACACCCACCCTGCAGTGGGGACAAGCTCACAGTGCGAGGGCCCTGATGGAGGCCCACGGAGGGGTGGCTGCCTGGGAGCTAAGACGGGTATCCTGGTGGGGCCTTGGCTTGGGCACTCTGCCTGCACTTGGGGCTTTGGGAGCAGGATGGCAGCGTGTCAGTCCAGCCAACAGAGACCGTGTCCTGTGTGGTGGCAGCTGGCTGGCCCCCCGAGGCCGGAAGGACACCCACGTACCCACACACGTCCTGCTGATGCCGTCAAAATAGTAACCAGCCTTGCACTCGCAGCGGAAGCTGCCGAGGGAGTTCACGCAGTGGTGCTCCTTGCCGCAGGGCATGGAGGGGAGTGAGCACTCGTCCACGTCTGCAAAGGAGGCAGAGATGCAGAGAAAGGCCTCAGCGGTCCCCAGGCCTGGGGCGCACTCAAGTGGACCCTGACACGCAGCACCACTCTGCTCTCCGGGCTGCTGTGCGGCCCACACAGCCCCAGCCATGGAGCCTGCGCTGGCCGACCCGAGTGAACCTCAGCAGGCAGAAGTGCCCAGTGAAAAAAATAACAAAATTATGGCATTTGTAGGGAAATGGATGGCATTAGAGCAGATTATGCTAAGTGAAGCTAGCCAATCCCTTACAAACAAATGCCGAATGTCTTCTTTGATATAAGGAGAGCAACTAAGAACAGAGTAGGGASGAAGAGCATGAGAAGAAGATTAACATTAAACAGGGACGAGAGGTGGGAGGGAAAGGGAGAGAGAAGGGGAATTGCACAGAAGATGGAAGGAGACCCTCATTGTAATACAAAATTACATATAAGAGGAAGTGAGGGGAAAGGGAAAAAAAAACAAGGGAGAGAAATGAATTTACAGTAGATGGGGTAGAGAGAGGTGATGGGAGGGGAGGRGAGGGGGTAAAGGAAGGGGATAGGAAAGGCAGCAAAATACAACAGAGTACGGCAGTATGTGGAAATGTGGATGTGTAACCAATGGGATTCTGCAATCTGTACACATGGTAAAAATGGGAGTTCATAACCCACTTGAATCAAATGAATGAAATATGATGTCAAGAGCWTTGTAATGTTTTGAACAACCAATTTAAAAAAAAAAGAAGTGCCCAGTGACGCACAGGGCACTGAGAGTGTCCTGGGTGTCATGGAGAAGGCCCTCTTCCCTGGCAGGGGTCTGGGATGGCTGACCACCCACAGCCAAAGACACAGGAGTAGGTGGGCAGAGGAATAAGAGCAAACGGCCGGCCAGGGACCCTGTGTCTCCTGGGGCGTGCTGAGACCTATTTCATCTGGATTACAAGGCTCATGAAGTTGGAGCCCAGAGAACTGARTTGTAAGCATCTGTGTGAGCATCTGTCCTTTGTCACCAAAGGGGAGCTGCTGAAGGGCTGTGAACAGGGAGGCATGACAGTGTCAGGAGGATTGGAGCCGGGCTGGAGGCAGGGATGAGCTGGCAGGCCACAGCCACGGTCCAGGCCAAGTAAAGGCCTGGGCCTGGGAATGGGCAGTGGGAGAGAAGGACAGGCAGAAATGCCTTCCTCCCCTTCTAGAAAAAAGGGGGAGGGAGTGGGAGGGGAGCAGACAGAAAGTCAGTACCCACCGACACAGCGAGTTCCCTCCTCGTTGAGGTGGTAGCCCCGGCCACAGTTGGGCACGTTCTTCTGGCACGTGTAAGAGCCCTCTGTGTTGATGCACGTCTGCCCGACAGGGCACGGGGCACTGATACTTAAACACTCATTGATATCTGTGTGGGGAAGAGGAAGACGGACGGTCACACATGGAGGGCGTCCAGAGCCCAGCAATGATCTCTGAAGAAGCTCCTCCTTCCGCCTCTTTCCCAAACCACAAACAAACAGATGCTGTTCTAGTCCCTTCATCCTGGACCACATGGCTGCCTCCCAGCTAGTTCCAAATCTCACGAGCACACACAGCCTCAAACACCCCTCCCTGGCCCTCCTTCCTGACCCCAAATCTCCCACACCRCCATGTCCCACGTTCCACTGAGCCAGCCCACGCCCGCCTGGCTTTCCTGTACCACACAGTCCACGCAGGTGGATGGAGCCCCTTCCCTGAGCAGGCTGCTCGGGAGGCAGAGTGACCGTCCCTTCTGTGCCCACGCTGAACCTCAGAGAAGCTCTGGGTGCCTCTGGTCACTGGCCGGGCCCTGTGTGCCTCTGCGGCCCCGCCTGGCCAGTCCTCTGAGCCCTCGCGGCACCTGCAGCCCCACTCAGGTGAAGTCCCAGTCCCCTCCTCTGCCTGCTAGCCATGGCTTTGGGTGCCACTTCCACAGAGCCTTCCCAGGTCCCCATCTGGGTCATGGAGCCTGTGCTGACACAGGCCAGCTGGGAAGAACTGTCCCCTGAGCTCCCTGCCTGGGAGACTCCCTCCCAGGGCATACACGCCTCCAGAGTGGGGACCTGGCTGCACACTTCTAGTGGACACCTGGCGGTGTGGACCAGGAAGTAGTGCATCAGCTCGTGCCTCACGCTCAGATGCGGTGTCAAAGCACAGATGAGACTGCTACTAGGAGGGTCCTTCCAAAAGGACGACTTTGGGGAAGTCACCTCTGAGAATCTCCTAGTTCAGAAAAGCATGTGGGGTGGGGGACAGGAGCCGGCAGTGATGGCAGAAGCCCCGCCACAGCCAGGCGGCTCCTCCCAACCCTGGGGTGGGCCTCTGCACCAGTGCCATGCTATAGAGCTTGTCTGAGGTGACCCAGTGTGCCCTACACCAAGACCTCAGGACCCAGAGAGAGCAGGTGACTCCCCAGGTTCACAGCAGCAGTGTGGGGTAACAGCCCAGGCTAGAGTCCCGCCTCCCGGCCAGTGCCAGGTCCCCTATGTGAAGGTCACAAACCCCAGCCCTGGGCCAGTCCAGCCGCTGCCTGCGCTTGTGAATAAGGTTTTAGGGGCACACAGCTGGGCCCACTCCTCCTCGGACTGCCCACTGCTGCTTGCCCACAACGGCAAGGGCTGCGTGCTGGCCACCGAGACTGGTGTTTGTCACAGAGACGTGGGCATTTGTCATACAGCCCTCACGGCTTCCCCCTGAGCTTTTGCCCCTTTCAGATCTGTTTCCCAAATTCTGATCCATGGCACCCTGGTGTTCCTAGAAACATCATGAGCTTCATAGAGAGGGTCCCCAGGCCTGAGAGCTCCACCGTGTCAGGCAATGGATCAGTGAGTGCGTGAACTGGAGGGTGAACAAGCAAAGCACAAATCGACATGAAAAATCCCCCAGGTCGGGTCACGTGGTCCACCCTCCCCCTAGGGATCCCCTAGAGGTCCCCTAGGGGTCCATGTGGGAAAAGCCCAGCCGCCAGGGCCTTTGCTTTGCTTGGCCAGGCGCCTCTGAGACTCAGTGGAACCCCTGCCGTCCCAGGACCTGAGAGTATCCCTCGGCACACAGGGTCCAGGGTGTGGGCCATGCCTGGCCGATTCGCTCCTCCTCGGGGCGGAAGGGACGACAGAGGGCAGGGAGAGGAGTGAAGGAAAGGAACAAAAAAAACCCCCGCCAAGACAGGCGGTCTCAGGCCCCCAGCGGCCCCAGCACTGGGAGGAGGCCCTGCGCTCCCGACCCTGGCAGCGGGCGGCTCCCTGCTGCAGGCTGTGGCTGGAGGCGGTGAAAACAGAAGCAGGAGGAAGAGCTTTCAACTCCATTTCAAAGAAAAGTACAAATTCTGTCAGAAAAGTTAGGGCAGCAGCAAGACAGAAATCTGCACGGCAGCGCGGCCTTGTGGGGAAGGGCTGCGGCACCCCGGGTAGGCCGGGTCTGACCGGTGGCACCTGCAGCCGCTCCCCGACCTCCAGGGCAGGACCTGGGAGCTGAGCAGAGGTCGGGGGGGAAGCCAGCAGCTGGGATTCAGGGACCACCACAAGCGTGACAGAGCCAAGTGGCAGCTGGACGACCTGGAWGGGGGGACGCAGGTCTCGCCCACGCCAGTCCTGGGGCCTGGGTGGTCTCCCCGGCTCCTGTCGTGACACTCGGCTCACGGGGGATTTCCTCCCCTTCCACAGGGTCTCCCTCTGACACCTCCTTCTTGGTGAGGTCCCCGTGACAGTCCACTGCCCTCAGCACCTTAGGTCCGTGGCACCTAGGACCTTCACACCCTCCTGCAGCCCTCACCACTGTCCACCTCCAGAACTTCTTCATCTTCCCACACGGAAGCTCTGTCCCCACTAACCACAACCCCCACCACCGTCCCTGGAAACCGCCACTCCACTTCCTGTCCGTGCGAACTCCACCGTGAACACCAGGTGCTTCTGACAGGTGGATGGCTGTGGCAGGTCCACCCCCACGAGCGCCCTGCTATCTGTGGCTCCGGGCGGTGGGCTTCACCCTGGCCTCGGGCCCCGCAACCACCTATCACGGCTGCCCCCATTTCACAGGGAGAAAGCCGAGGCTCACAGAAGGAAGCAAGTGCTCTTCAGCCACGCAGTGTAAAACCAAAGCCTCTAATCCAAATCCAAACTCTTTCATCTAAACCAGTGGCCAGCGAGCCACAGCGCTGGGTCAAACGCAGCCTGTGGCCAGTGTTTGTAAATCAAGGTTTATTGGAATATGACCTTGCCCAGCTGTTTTTGTACAATCTGTGGCTTTAAACCGTACGGCAGAGTTGAGTAACCGTGACAGAGACCACATGGCCCGCCATGCCTAAAATGATGGCCACGGGACCCTTCAACGAAGCTTTGCCAGCCCTGGTCCTTGCTCTGCACATCCCTCAATTCCAGGTGTGGCCACAGCCAGGCCTTCCCCGCCTGGCGGACCGTGCATCTGGCGGCAGCGTGGCTTACCAATACAGCTGCCTAGAGCATCCTGTATAAATCCGCTCTTGCACTGTAGCTTGGGTCTGCAGCGGAAGGATCCCAGAGTATTCTGACAGATAAAATCGGGGGGGCAGTTATGAATACCACTCTCACACTCGTCAATATCTGGTGCATCATAAAAAAAGGAGATTGTTAGCAAGAGTCCTGCCAGAGGCATCACACAACACTTCAACATCACAAGAAAACGTTATCAAAAGTGCTCACTACTCAGACTACAACCCCAAACATTCCTACAGAGAAATCACAGACAAAAAGGGCTTCAGGGAGGCACAGAGTGCTCCCGCTGCTGAGGACTAAAAACGCAGCCTTTCTCGGCCACGGCCCTTGGGAGGCGAGGGCTGTATAAACACACAGCCCAGGCGTCTCCCTGGCAGATGGAGCCATCGTTACTCATCCAGATAAAGTGCATGTTTCTTTCATAAGGCAATTTTCTTAGTGCCAATAAACACAGCTTCTCTATATCTTATTCATTCTGAGGTGCTTAGAATGTTCCACATATTAAGAATGATCGCCTCGGGAAGGGATGTCAGGGCTGCCCTGCCTCGCAGCTGGGACAGGTCAGACGTTCAAAGCTGGGCATCAGCTGGCCTGGACCTGGGCTCTGGGGTCAGCCCATCACTGGGCTGGGCAGCAGGCTTGGCAGCCTGAGCTGGCTCGAAGGCCCTCTGACACCTGGAGGGCGTGCCTGGCTTTGGAGTTACCCTCATAATTCAAAGATGGACGTTTTAATGCAAGTGGTGCCATCTTTCTGGAGGGCTTGAAGCCCCGTGCAGACCACTATGTTCTAAAAGGTCCTCATCATACACTCTCTGCCAATGGCAGGCAGGGAGACCAGCGGTCAGAAACGCCACGCTTTTACGCAGCGGAAGGGGTGATGCTCTGAGTGTCCAGGAAGCTGGAGCCAGAGGGAAGCCAGCTGTTGTGCAAACACTTGTTTTCTTTGGAGGGGGATGTTTGTTTTTGTAAAAAGCACCTGTGAGCACCTGAAATCCTTCTCTGTCTGGTTTAACTGACCAGGCACTGAGCCTTTAAACCCAGGTGGGCCATCGTCATGAATGTGGCACCAGCTCTTCCCCTCGCCCTGTGGCCCTCCTGTGGCGGAGGAGGCAGTAGCCCAGGCAGCCACACGGGGGCAGCACCACAGGGCCCAGACCAGTACTGGGCCACCCTCCCCTCAGCGCTCCGCCCCAGCTGGGGACAGGTTCCCAGGCCGTACCTTTGCAGTTATTGTCCTCTGTGAGCTCATAGCCAGTCCCGCAGCTGCTGTCCCGCTGACAGCGGAAAGAGCCCACGGTATTGATGCAGGATTCTCCCAGACGGCAGCTGTGGCTGCCTGTGATGCACTCATTGACATCTAGGAGAGATTCAGGGACATGAAGTAACCAGCAAGAACTTCGGATCCCTGCACTTCATCAGAGGAAAGTTCTAGAAGCCGGGGTGGAACTGGCTTCCTGCATCTATCAAACTGCCCAAACTGAGCTGGGTCCTGCCATGAGCACATCCCACTGGGCCTCGGGATGCTGCCCTGACCAGCCCTCACCAAATCCAGCCCAAGGATTCGATGCCTTCCGACTGGCAGACCCAGGGCTCTGAGTAAGTGCTGGGCCCTGGACTGGAGTCCGGCGGTCTCCATGAACCCCATGAAGGGGCAGCATCTCCCCATCTCCTAGCTGGGGAAAGGCCAAGGGAGGCTGAGGGACATGCCCAGGGCCACTCAGCCGGTCCCAGATCCAGAGCCAGGGTGGACCCCAAAGCCAGGCCCTTTCTCAGCCCTGGGGGTCATATTCTTCTGACGAGAGTCTTGCCAGGAGCCACTGCCCTGCCTACTCTGGAGAGCCAGTCCAGGCTGTCTCCGCCCACCAAGGGGACCTGTCAACCCTGCTCAGACCTGGCATGGGCTCCAGGCAGAGCGGCAGGGTCTTACCTTCACAGGAGACACCGTCAGGCAGCAGCTGGTAGCCCACAAAGCAGGAGCAGACCACCTCGTCCCCAGTGTCCCGGCACTGCTGCTGGCAGGGCCCACCCCCTGCAATCAGAGCTGGCGTGAGCGGGGCCAGCCATGTCCAGAGGTCTCTGAAGCCACCCGCAGCCCCAGGGAGACCCCCAGACACTGGCTCTGGTCACCGCTGGGGTCTGACAAACCAGGCAGCCTTCAGCTTGGCCTCTGGAGTTACAGAGGAGCTGTGAGGGACAAGGCAGGGACGGGGTGCAGCTTGCTGCCAGCCACAGACACTGAGGAAGCAGGCCTGTCCCAGCTCCAGCAGCTGTGGGCCTCTGTGCTGCAGGTTCCTGGCTTCCCCAGAGCCACCTCTGCCCCCCTCACTTCCTACAGGGCAGCCAGAGCGATGCTCAAGAGCAACCTCAGGGGCCGAAGCCTCTGCCCAGGGCCTGCAGGGTCCTGCCTGCTGCCCTTCACGTGCTGGTCATCATGCTAAGCCACTCTCAGCTGCTAAAAACGGGCTGTCCCCTCCCCCAGGAAGACCCTCCCCTCAGGCAGGATTCTTGGGGCTTCTGTCCCCCCCTCCTCCCCTCCCAGCCTCAGTGCTGCCTGTCACTGCACCCGACCATATCATCTTGTCATAAAACTGGCTCCCCAGTTAACACCTGACCACAGGGCCAGCTGCTGGGTGACCACGTGCAGCAGACCTGCCAGAGCGAGAGTGTGACCCTGGGAAACAACCACCAAGGCCCCCCGGGTTTAAACACACCCACACTTCCCTGTGGGACAAGTCAATGTGTCTGACAGCACGAGGCTGGGGCTCAGGTCGGGAGGGCAAGAAACGCTCGGCCCCTCCCCGCAGTCTCCCGGCCTCTTGGACGCCACCCTCTGAAGCCTGTGAGCTTGGGAATGTCCAGCACACACTGCAGAGAGGGGGCTTTCACACTAGTTGCTGGGCCCCTGCCCCACCAGCCCCACCAGGCCAGCTCTGGAGAGTCTAGGGAAGCAGGAGGGCAGGCCCAGGGGCCTGGGTTCAAGGCTCCAGGGAACGGCCGAGGAGATCCGGGGCCTTACCTCGGCAGCGGTCATTCAGGTAGGGGTCTTCCTGTTCCTCCTCCACCTCAGAGACCTTAGCTGAGGGGAAACAGAGACCAAGAGCGATTACCCAGAGTCCACCTTACCTGAGAAGGAACTTCCCATCAATGTCAAGCAGGACACCCACTCAGTCCTCCTGAAAGCAGCGGAGCGCTCATTTACCCTCATGAAAACAGAATTTTCCTCATGAAGGTAGCTCATCTTCTCCAAAGTCTGTGACACAGAAGGGCCCAGGCACCAGGAAGGCCATCGCTAACTCCAGGCCCTCGGCTGGGACACGGTCTCCACCTTCCCATAAGACCCCCAAGGCCCATGGCAGAGCATGTGGCCAGCGCCTGAACTGCCCTGCGGGCCCCAGCAGGCCTTCGCTGCCTCCAGCCCTGCTGCAGGCCACAGCGGCCTGCACACTCGTGGGGCCTGGGGGCGGGGTGTGTGTGTGCCTGGGGAGCACACAGTAGGCCCACCATAAACGCCAGCTTCAGGAAGGCCACCGTGAAGCCCCCTCAGAGGAGGTGCCACTGGAGAGAAGTCTGGGGCAGGGATCAAAGTGGATCCAAGACAGGAGAGGAAAACCCTGGAGCCACAGACTCCCAGAGAGGCCAACGCAGGAGACAGGAATCACAGAGGAACTCTGCCCAGGATGAGGGCTGGGCTTGTTTACTGTAAAACATCATCTCTGACTTCAAAAGCCCAGGAGGGAGCAGGAATGTGGTCCCGATTCCACATCAGAAGTCAGCTCAGCTCAACAGTAACCGCAGCAGCCTGGGCTTGAAAAACTAAGATCCAACGTGATTTATCAAGGCAGAGCCATGGGTCACAAAGCCAGAGGGCGAAGGCCTGACTGAGAGACCTGGGGGCACTACCCTTTTATTTTTGTTTGTTTGGGTACTGGGGACTGAACCCAGGGTGCTCTGCACCACTCTGAGTCACATCCTGGCCCTTATTTTATTTTTTTTTTATTTTTTATTTTTTTTTTATTTTATTTTATTTTAATTTTTGGACAGGGTCTCACTAAGCTGCTGAGGGTCTCACAAAGTTGCTTAGACTGGCCTCAAACTGGCAATCTTCCTGCTCAGCCTCTCAAGTCTCTGGCATGACAGGTGTGCGCCACCATGCCCACCTGGCAGAGTGCTTCCCCCTTAACCCCTTCCTGTACCTTCCCCTTTTTCAACAGAAAGGGGCAGAGCCCAGAGAGGGCTGGGAACAGACAAAGACCCAGCAGGCGTGGGCTGGGCAGATAGGGCGCCTCTCAGGGTACTCCACTCTGGCACTGGAGGCCACCGGGCAAGCAGGAGAGGTCGCCAGACACCAGGAAGTCTCCGACAGGGTGGAGCTCAGGACAAACAGAGGGGAGGGAGGGCAGGGCTGGTCACCCAGGTGAAGCCTCCGGAAGCTGCCTCTGGACGTGCCCCTTGCCGAGGAAGCGTCTGTCCTTTGAAAGAGGCACCTCCAGCCTCTGGCCACACACCCTGGGCTCCAGAGGGAGAGGGGGCTCCCACAGGCCAAGTCTCTGCTCTGTGTGCTGGCCATGACCCTGAGCACCAGCTGCACATCCCAGAAACAGAGCGGGGGCAGCCAGAGCTGTAGGCGGGGTGGAACCCTGAGGGGGCACGGTGTTCCACTCTCCACCCTTCCAGCACCTCCCGCAAGTCCGTTCCCACATGCCCTCGGCACCCGTCAGCGACGCCGGAATCCACGGATGCTCAAGTTCCTTACATGACATGGTGCAGGATCTGCTCGTGACCTACATGGACCCTCCGTAGGCTCACTTACTTTTTTTGTTTGTTTGTTTTTGTACCTGGGATTGAACCCAAGGGCACTTCCCCACTGAGCTACATCCCCAGCCCCGATATATGTATATACATATTCATAGATGCTAAGTGAAGTGTGCCAATGCCAAAGACCAAAGGCTAAATATATAGGTGATTTAGAGACAGGGTCTTACTAAATTGCTCAGGGCCTTGCTAAGTTGCTGAGGCTGGCTTTGAACTTGCAATCCTCCTGCCCCAGCCTCCTGAGCTGCTGGGATTACAGGCGTGCACTACCATACCTACCTTACTTTTGACACCTAGAACAACACAAATTCTTTTCTTTCTTTTTTATTTTTGTACAAGCACTTGCTTTATTGTAACTTCAATGTAGAAGAGTGGGGAGAATATTCTTTTTAATAAGTGGTAGTGAGTTGATGCTTAACTCTTTAAAAATTGTGACTTCACCCCACTTTATACCTGAGAAATCATAAACTCGGTGAGGGTTGTTGGTTTATTTTTACTCTTATTATTATTTTATATACATATACACAATGAAATATTTTCTGTTTGTTCTTTTTATGTACACATGACACAGAGTGTTTTTTTGACATATATCCATGGAGTATAACTTCCCATTCTTGTTGTACATGACGTGGAGTTAGTTAACTGGTAGTGTATTCATATATGAACATAGGAAAGTCACGACCTGTTCAATCTACTCTCTTTCCTATTTCTACCCCCCTCCCTTCCCATTTGTCTAATCCAATTAACTTCTATTCTTCCCTCCCCCACTTGTTGTGGGTTAGCATCCACATATCAGAGAGAATATTTAGCCTTTGGTTTGGGGGGGGACTGGCTTATTTCATTTAGCATGGTAGTCTCCAGTTCCATCCACTTATGAGCAAATGCCATAATTTCATTTTTCCTTATGGCTGAGTAATATTCCATAGTGAACACAGACCACATTTTCTTTATCCATTCGTCTGTTGAAGCGCACTTAGTGGGTTCCATTGCTTGGCTATTGTGAACTGAGCTGCTACAAACATTGCTGTGGCTGTGAGCATACAACACAGATTCTGAGTAAACAGTTGTTAGGCTCTATTATTTAGGGAATAACATGGGGAAAAGTCTGCACATGCTCAGTGCAGATGCAATTTTTTTTTCTCCCATATTTTTGATTTGTGGTTGGTTGAATCCATGAATGTCACAACCATGGACAGAGAGGGCCAACCTTGCTTATGTACACACACACACCCCGGAGAACCTTGACGAGTGCACCGCCCAAGAGGGAAGAGGGGGGATTACCTGTGTCTTGGAGGTCCCCCAGATCCCCAGGGGTGAAGTCCGCGGTCTCCTGTCCCTTGACACAGCATGCCCGGAACACCATCCCACACTGGTAGCCGATCATGAGGCTGGGCTCGCAGCTCTGGGCCCGGGCCTGGGCCACCCGCCCCAGCACACAGCAGTGGCAGCATCTCTGAAAACAGCAAAACTCAGACAGGCCCACTCAGGGTCCCACAGAGACCCAGGGGACGCCTCTCGGATTCCCCTGGTCTTCAGCATGAACAGCGGGTGGGGGCATGTCTGACTTAGCCACTAGGTGCTTCCCAGAAATTCCACAGTACACAGCGAAGCCACCAAGTCCCCAGCTCTCCTGATCAGCTTTGGAAGGGGACCTGCAGTGCCCGGCCCCCAGCACAAGTCCTGCCTCCCCTCCCAACCCTGCTAAGGATGGCCCTCACACCCTCCCTGCAGAGCCACCCCACCGCCCACCCCTCCAGGGAGAGGGAGCCCACAGAGCCCTGGATGCTGGTGGTTTGTGGTCTAAGATGTCTCCACTGCGCCGGGAAGGAACGCACGCCCGCCCTCCAGGCTCCCGGGGTCCAGGCTGTGCTTTGAAAGCACAAGAACCTTAAGGCACCAGCAAGGCAGGGGACAGGGTTACGGCCTGCAGGTGGCACCAGTGGAGCCCAGCCCTGCCAGGAGGCAGCCATGGACACCCAGGTCCTGCTGCCAGGACCTTGACCAGGCCACGCGCCTCCCCCAGCTCCCTCACTGCAACGTCTCCCCCAGCCAACACCCTCAGGGGCCTGGGGGTCCCTGCCCCCAGGGTCTCCCTCTCTGGCCCATCTGTGTGCAGGCCCCCCAGAAAGGAGCCCACGTGACACCTCCAGGAATCCCCCCTTGCCTCCTGGTGGGGACTCCACTCTTTGGTACCTTCTCAGCCTCCAAACCTGGCCTCCTCCTGCCCGGCTTGTTTTCCCTCCCTCAGCAGAGGTAAGGGAGGGGCCGAGTGGCTCTGGGGTCTTCCCACATCACTAGGTGGCCCTCAGTGTCCTGGTCTGGAGGTGGGGTCCCAGCAGCCCTCGGGGAAAGGGATTCTGCCAGTGATTCCCGCCTCATCTTCAGGGTGGGAGCCCGTCTGGCCCCCTGACAGGGCTGCTAAGAGGCCACTTAGGAGTGGGGGCCTCTCTGAACTTCAGTTTTTTCCTCCAGGGTGGTCATAAAAGTCATGTGTCATCAGGGGCCCTTATAAGGGCCCATTCTGAGCTCTAAGCCCAACTAGCCTGAGGCACACAGAAGCCTGAGGACCTCCTGAACATTGTCGGGGGGCCCACAAGGAACTGAGCAGAGAACTCGGGGCCCTGGACGGCCCCTGCTCTGACCTTGTGTCTGAGGCCTGGGCAGGGTGTGCCAGGTCCTTCCCGTGTTCCTAGGGGGGCTGCACCCTCAGCCTCTCATCCCTTAGCCAGCTGGGAGGTCGGTAGGTGAGCTCTACCCACCACTGCAGTGGCCTTGCCCTTCCTGGCCCAGGCAGCCAGGGGGGTGCAGGGGAGTGATGTGATGGACAGTGCTGCTCATGGGGGCCCTGGCCTGTGGCCGTCAGGGGTGGCGGTGGCCCCATGTGGTCCCCAGGTCCTCACCTTCATAAACATGGCCTCGAGGCTGGCGTTGTCACCACGCGGCGGGACACAGGCGTCCTGGTCGCTGGCCAGGTTGATGCCCGCGGCACAGTGCAGCTCCTCCAGCTGGCTGTGGCAGCACTGCTCCTGGACCATCCTGGGGGCAGAGGGCAGGGCTGGACGGGTCTGCAGTGGCCCACAGCCTATCACAGGGCTCTGTCCTCCACGGCTTCCCCTCCCCCAGCTCCCAGGACAGACACACAGCCCTCAGCATACAGAAGGTGCCCAATAAGTGTGTAGTTAGAAAGACTGCAGGGTGGTATATGGGCTGAGTCGGGACACCGAGTTGTGACCCCGAGTTGTGACCCAGAGGGAAGAGTCCGCTCTGAGCCTCGCCTCTCCCACAGGACGTCCCCATGTTTAAGACACAGCCCCGGGGCTGCCGATGCCGGCCCACCTCGTCCTGCGCCACACTGAGTTCTCAGCACTCCAGGCTCACAGGGACAAGCCAGAGAGCTAAAGGCTGCCACGGTGGCTCCCRGTGTGGCCCCCAGCTCTGCCACGCCTCTCGGGTATGGAGGGCTCAGGGAGGGAGGAGGACGTGACCTGCCAGGGTCAGTTCCTCAGACAGCCAGGGGACCAGGGACCAGAGAGCCGGGACCAGAGAGCTGGCCCACAGGCAGCAAGGGCGACTCCCGTCCAGACCCGAAATGACCCCAGCTCCCGCCACAGTCAGCAAGGGCAGAAGAATCACCCACTGTGTCGGGCAGAGAGGGCGGGGCTCACAGCCTCCCCGTGCAGCCATCCAGGCGGCCTCTGCCCCCGGACACAGCCCCCACCTTCCCGTCCCCCCACCACCCTGGAGGAACCCAAGTCTACACCAGCCTTCCCCCGGCTCACGACTCCCCTGGCTTAGAGTGGGTCTGTCTACACTGAGCAGTTACACACCGTGCCCAGGCTCACAGCGGGTGAGGAAATGGCAGGCATTTCACTAAACTGCCGGCGTGTCCTTGCCCTTACCAGATCCCCACATTCCACACATTCGTTCAAAACCTTTTTGCTAAACAGAGAGTCACAAATGCTGGAGCAGAGTGGAGAAGCGAGCCCTCACGCTCCACTCACGGAAATGGGGCAGCCATTTGGGAAACGGCATGCGATTCCTCAAAAACTTAACAATAGAATCAGGACCCAGCGCCCCTGCTCTAGGTGTGTGCCCCAGAGAATCCAGAGCAGGGTCTGAAAGAGGTGCCTGCTCACAGTGCTCACGACAGGCCGGCCATCTGTCTGCATTCAGCCTTGAGAAGAAGGAAACCTTGATTCCACACCAAGGAACACGAGCGGCCRCAGAGGGACGAGGCCGTGTGACCCCACCGACCCGAGTCCTGGAGTGGCTAAGTTCACGACAGAAGTCAGAGGGGGCCGCGGGGGCTGGGGCAGAGCAGGAGGAAGGGCAGTGAGCACTTAATGGGGTCAGAGTTCCGCCTCTGCTGGACCAAGAGCCCGGGAGGTAGGCGCTGGCTCGCTGGCTGGCCATCGTGGGTGGCTAACTGCCACGGGAGCGCACACCCAGACTCCAGGAGAGTGCCTCTCGGGTCGCGTGCTTTTTACCACCGTTTAAAAACAACTGGCTGCGGCCCCTCTGGCCTGCTGGTTGGCGGTGCAGGCTCCAGGTACTTGAAAGCCTTGGCCTGGGGGGGACGGTTCCTCTCCAGCTTCGGGGGACAGCAGGTGCTAGACCCTGTCCTGAGGGGAAGGAGCCAGGGTGGCCATCTGGAGGGCTGGCTGCAAGTCCTGCTCTCCTCTGGCTGCGTCCTGGACAAGCAGTCCAGCCTCGGAAGGCTTTCCTCGCCTGCAGGGTCAGGCAATGCCACCTCCCTCAGCCAGCCATGTCACAGTGGCCCTGGAGCCCTGGGGCACAGCAGTGGCCTGGAGGTTAAAGCCTCACCCAACGTCACGGCTGCCTTTGTCCGACTGGCCCTGGCATTTGAGTGGCTGGCAAAGGCCATGTCAAGAGTCAGCCCAGAGCACCCTGGCTGCCGTCCCCACCCACCTTCACTTCCTGGGTGGGTGACCTTGGGCTGATGGTGGTCCTCGCACACGTTGAAGGCAATGGGTCTTGGCTGCAGAGCACTGGGAGGGGAGCACAGAGCTGCCCAGCTGCAGCCCCCTCTTCCGGGACTGCCAAGGGAGCCAGTTTGCAAACCAAAGAACCAGAGTTTCTAGGTGCCATTCTGGGGAGAGTCACRAAGCTGGTCACTCTACCCTGCCCTGGCACGAGCCTCCGTCATCTGCCCCACGCGCTCTCCCTGGCTAGACTTGCCAAGCACGTCCTGGTCCTGGGGCGCAGGGGCGGGTTGTTTGTTTTGGTAGTTGTTGCTTTGTGACTAAGGGTTAAACCCAGGGGCACTTAACCACTGAGCCACATCCCCAGCCCTTTTTTTATATTTTATTTAGAGACAGGCCCTCACTAAGTTGCTGAGGCTGGCTTTGCACTTGTGATCCTCCTGTCTCAGCTGCCCGAGTGGCTGGGGTGACAGGCTGCATCTCTGCACTCAGCTCATGGTGGGTTTGTGAGGGGCCTGTCCACCCTAATGAGGTCTGAGGGGAGGACTCACTGGCCCCACATAGGAGGACCCCAGGGACTCCACCTCACCTTCCTGCCAACCCACCAGCCTCTCATGCCACCTGCCTGCAGGTGGGTGTTCCTTTCTGTGCCCTCCAGCTCCTGACCAGGTTCCCAGAGGCCCCCTTGGATCTCCTCTTAGATGTCCAAGGGCACCCTAAACCCATGTGCCCCCTAAACAAATGTGCCCGTCCCAGCACCCCAGCTGCCTCTCCAGTGCCCCTTCTCACCCAAACCGCCTGCCCAGCCCCGCAGAGCCGGGCCCTGGATGGAGCCTAAGGCCACCTCTGCATCCCACTCCACTCAGTAAGGACAACCTGGCGGCCTGCCTCCAAGTCACGCCCACAGCCACCCAAGTCTCTCCACTCTCTCCGGGCTCTCACCCAGCTCCAAACCACCAGCACCTCCCGGGATTGTCAAAACAGTCAATTAGGGCCTGGGCTTCCATCTTCCTCCCTCTCCCTGCTCCTTCCAGGCAGGGCCCCTTTTAAAGGCAAGTTCAGACAGATAAGCACCCACTTATCCCTGCTCAGAACCTTCCACCAGCTCTCAGCCACTTCAGTCAGCCTCCGCAATGGCCACCAGGCCTGGGACAACCACCCTGCAGCACCCTGGCCAGCCTGGATTCCTCCTGAGCTCATGTCCTTCTGCCCAGTCCAGCCACCACTCACTCTGTGCAGCCGCTGGCCCCCGGCTGCTGCCGGGTCAGACTGCACTGCAGCTCCTTTGAGCCTCCGTGCTGGCTGTTCCCTAGCCTGGATGCCCTTCGCCACACTCCACTCGGCTGGCTCTCGCCTCCCTCCGGGCTGACAGCTCTCAGGGTAGACCTGCCCTGAGCAGAAGACCCCACTCCYTCCCCGGGATCTTCTTCCCCACGTGGCACACACGACCCTCTTACAAACCCAACGTGCATCTACCATCCTAAGGTGAGTCGTGGCATGTTCTAGAAGGCAGCTCCTGAGGCCTGGCCTCCTCGTTCCCTGGCCTGCCCCATGACCCTGGTGAAGCACACAGGCTGCTGGAGACGTCGGCTCAGAGRCGGCCCAGCGGGCTCCTCGTGGGCCACGTTCCTCCAAGAGGATGAAGACTGGAGAGTGAAGTCCAGCCCAAGGTTTTAGGGGATCTGGATGGGGATCTAAGGAATGTGGGGCCTGATGAGGGCCCAGTGAATGGAGGAAGCCTCAGAGCCAGCGTCACCACCCACCCGCACCCGGCACTGCTAGAGTTTCAGGTGGCTGACCCCTGCCAGCCTTGCTGAGCCCCCTGCCCACCCAGGGGAGCCAACCCTGAGAACCCTGGTTGCCCCCACCCTCAACTCCTGCCCAGGAGGCCCGGCATGGGGCTCAGCGCCCCCCACCTGAGCTTACRACAGCACCAGGGTCAACGAGGACTGAGGGGCTAAAGGGATGAGAGTGGAGATTTACTGAAACCGCGAGTCCCACAGGTGGCTCAGCCCCTGCCTGTGACTCCTGGGACGAGCCAACCGCCTCAGTAAAGCAAAGGGCCAGTCATTGGCATTCGATGACATTGACTGGTGTCCTGGGTGCTCAGTCACACATCCTGGGGACACTGTGATCTGGAAACCCACACAACCCCGCCGGAATTTTCCACGGCCCTGAGAGAGAGAGGAGGAGACAGAGACAGGCGCAGGGTCAACAGGGGCGGGGCAGCCCCACCTCCTGGGGAGAACTGTCTTCTCTGAGGTTAGGGATCAGGAACCTCCTAGCGGGGGTGGAAGGTGCCCCTGCTGGGGTGAGGTCAAGAACAACTGCTGWCTCCTCTCTGCCAGGAGCCTGATGCCTGTTGGGCCCTGTCCTCGGGCAGTGTGACAGAGACTGGCACTCCCACACGTGGCTTGGTGCCACTGGTTTCAGGCATCATCTGCCATCATCTTACCAACCTGAAGGAGAAGTGCACTGGGGGAAACCCAGGAGCCAGGCTGGCTCAGCTCTCACCTCCRCCCTTGGCCTTCCCAGGGCCAGGCTGCCTTGGGCCAGCACAGCCCGTAAGCAGAACCCTTGGCGCTGAACACCCACTCGACTACACAACCACCAGCAGCCGAGGTGCTAAGCACCCTGCCAGCCAAGCTCGCTTGCGGGCTCTGCGCAGTGACGGGTGGCTTCCAGTCACTCCACCCCTCTGAGGCCCCTGCCCTCTCTTCCTTTGTTTGGCCTTTCCTGCTATTGACTTGTCAAGAGTCTCCTGGGTCAGGATCTACATCACCGGTCACCACTGGCAGGCACAGCGCACTCAACGCCAGCACAAAGGCAAAGCTGCCCAGGAGGCAAAAGAGATGTCCCCGTGCATCCTCCTGTGACAGCCGTCCAACCAGCAAGCACGGTGCCCAGGGCCAAGGCAGGGCAGAGTCAGACTAGAGGCAGAGAAAACAAAGGGGCAGCTAACCCCGGAAGCCTTCCTCCACCTCCCTGCCACGTGCTCCCGGGCCAGCAGGCATGGCTCGGAGCCCAGCATCACACTTTACCAGCTGTGCACACGGGGATGCCCGTTTCCTTGTCTATAACATGGATTAATAACAAGGTGACACAACACGGTGTATGTCAAATGCACAGCGCACAGTAGGTGCTCTGAAAAGCTTGCTATTCTTTTCATGATATGATCAACATGACCTATTCCATCATTTATTCTAAATGTATATTATCCCAAATTTTGAGGATGCTTGAGTCAACTTAGGGAGAGAAGACAGTCAGCCCAGATGCCGGCTGTGGAGTGTGGTGGACAACTGTCTGTGGGACTCCTGCTGAGGGCCTGGCCTCTGAGCCTTCAGGTGTCCACTGGAAAAGCACGTCCAATCCCACAATCTCACTGAYCCCCAGAACAAAACACTCTTTTCTTTGGAAGAAACAGACTCGCCCACAGCTTCCCAGATGGGACATGGGACATGCTGGGCTGCAAACCCCAACCTACTTGCTTCCAGCCCTGGGAAGGGATCAKATGTCCCCACATACACAGGGGGGCCCAGAAGGGAGAACAGGGTCCTGTGTGAGGCCTTCGGGTGCAGAGGAAGGAGCGGGGAAGGGAGGGGGACGCAGATGCAGCCCAGCTGGCCGGCGGGTGAGTCCTGCCTGTCCCTGAGGGTCCTTCCTCGCCCATTCCCCCCTAAAGAAACACTGTTTGGGTCAGAAGGTGGCCGCGGGCAAACACACCTGCACTCCTTAGACTCCGAGGCGTAAGGCAGCGAGCAGTCTCGGTGCTGAGTGGCCATCCGATGTCCATCTGCACAGCAAGCCTCCATGGGGACRTCTGCGCCCACTGTGAGGGAGAGGACAGCAGGCGGGTGAATTGCCATGCATTGCCCACCCCCCAGGCGCACCAGCAGGACAGCTGCTTCCCCAGCCCTGACCAGAAYATCTGGCCAGGGATGGAAGGGTAGCGGGCACAAACGGCACTTCCCTTAGTCACTCTGCAGACGAGGACTGAGAACTCCATGACCCCAGGAAGCAGCCTGCTCCCCACAATTCTGATGGGGTGCGGATCAGCACCCCTGCCCCAGCCACCCATCCGGGATGGGTCAGGGTTGCTGCCTGTATGGTCTAGAGGGCCCTGCCCAGCCGTGCGTGGGAAGCACCCAGGCACAACCAGCCCGAGTCCCCGCAGGGGGTGTGGAGAGGGCTCTCGAAGGCAGGAAGAGGGGTCGGCAGTGAAATCACGCTGGTAATGGCCTCCACCCTCGTTTGCCACAAACCCTCTGTGAAGACAGAGCACAGCCACCTGGCTGAGCAGCCGGCCCTCAGCACCAGGCTGAGCTGGGCGCCCAGGTCCTCTGCCAGCCCAGGCTGTGGCCCCAGGGCCCTCTGCTCAGAACCCTGGGCCCTCCCCTCCTGGGAAGAAGACCCTGCCAGGCCCCTGGGAGGCGCAGCTGGGTCTCAAGGTGCCACACCCTTCGCTCTCAACATAAGGGTCAGCAGGCCAAGAAGGACAAGTGCCCAAGGCCTCCACTGCCARGCAGAGGCCACCTCCCAGCAGGACACTGCAGACGGGCTCAGGAAACACCAGGCTTCCTCAGGGTCAGCTTTCCAGGGCCCTGGGGAAAAGTGCCCGCAGGCTGGACAGCTGGGGCCTGCTGAGCCCTCCACTCTTCAAGGCCGCCTCTCGCCCACAGGAAGTGGCCCACAGGAAGTGGCCCACAGGAAGTCTTGCTCTTGTGTGAAACCAAGACTTCCCTGACTATGTACCCTCAGCCACCACAAGTCCTGGACTCCCTGTCCCCTCTCAGAGGGACAGGAGGAGCATTCGGGATGGGCGTGGCCAGCRCACACAGGAGCTGAGGCTCAGCAGGGCCACTCCACAAGGCCAGGAGCAGGGTCCTCACACCCCTAAGACTATTGCAGGGCTTGCCCTTCCCCGCAGGGCTTCTGGAAGACCGAGCAGCTCTCTGCAGTGAAAGAAGTCCCCACCCATTCCTGTAACCCCGGGCTCCCCTGGGCTGGCCGGGTGGTCAAGGATGGAAGCCTGTCTCGGCGGCCCCACAGCCCACCCCCCAAGCTGTCCCTCCATGGTCCCTGATGGTGCTGTCTGGTGAACAGGGAACACTCATGACAGGCTGCTCTCATCAGTGGGCCGGAGTCACAGGCCTCAGAGCACCAAAGCCAGAGGACTGTCACAAGGGAGGCCTGCCATCGTGGGACCAGCCACTGGGCTCCTGTTCGCCTGGTTACTCAGGCTCTCACTCCAGTTTATTGTTTAAAAACTGCATTCACAAAACTCAGGACCTCACRAGTAGAGGAGAGCTGTGGTTCAAGCCCCACATGATGGTGACGTGCCCTGCAGGGGGCTGACGGCAAAGCTGCCCTGCCCACGTGGCATCACCCCCGGCACCTGGTCACCCCACACTCCAGCCCTCAGCCGCTGCCTGCAGCCTCAGCCCTCATCTCCTCTCACAGACTGCTYACCCACCCCGCCTGACGCAGGGCCCGGGCTCCCGCCTGGCCACCCTGGCCCTCACACCACCAGCCTCTGAACTTCTGTCASCTTCACCAAGCCAGCCAGAGGTCCTGGGGTGCGGCCGTCCCTTGTTCCCYTACCCTTCAGCACAGAAGTGGGTGCATGGCAAACAGAGCCCAGCAGAAAGGGCTGAAGCTTTGGAGCCAGATGGGCTGGGCCCCAGAGCCAGCTCTAGCACCTTCTGTGACCCCGCCAGGCTCCTGCACCTGAAGCCACAGGTTTCTCAGTGCTAGAGTGGATCGCAAGAACTTGCTGGGTGGCCAAGGAGGTGGACAAACTTTATCAAGTTCCAAACACAGAGTAAGTTCTCCGTAACAGGAGCTSGATCACAGGTTACATGATTGACAGGGACTGACTCACTGTCACCCCTGAGAATGCGGGAGGCACAGCCGGTGTCAGAGTGTGGAACCCCATGGAAGAGCCGCAGCCCCCAGCCTCCTTAGATGCAGAAAAGCAATACCAAGTACCTACAGATGCCTGTCCCCCTCAGTAGGGCAGGAACCCAGCAGCCGGAGCTGCGGAGATGATTCCTGTCAGGGAGCCCCGGGAACAGGGCACCTTGTTCTCAGGACAATCAGATGCCAAGCCCTTCAGTCCACCAGGAAACTCGGAATGTCCCTGGGATGCAGTTCCAATGTCCTGAGCAGCCCCAGGGCTGGAACTCGGGCCTAGGGGGCAATGTAGGGGCCCTGGCCTGGGGACAGGCCTGGGGATCAGCCTCTGCCACCCAGACCCTAGGGGCATGGGAATCAACTCAGCCTCCTCAGAGACCAGGAAGAACTAAGAGACTACTGCTGGGCTGGACAGCAATGACACAGAGTGTGGACAGGACACAGGAGGGCATTCCTGTCCTTGTTGTAACAAACAATCCCCAAACCGCAAGGCCCTGGCCTGTGAGCGGCCCTGCAGAGAAGGCCTCTTCCTGTGCCCGCTCCCCTCCCCGTCCCTGAAACTCATCTCGTGGTGTGGGCGTCAGTCACACTGTTGAGAAGTAGCCMGGGGCCGCACTCATTTCCCTGCCTAGGGCTGGGGGCACTTCCGATTTTTGACTCCCAGGAAGGAGTGAAAAACCGTGGACACTGATTTAAATCTTTTCCCCTAATGGCACAGAGCCCGGGGAGCGGAGCGGGTAGGGAGGAATGCTTTCTGTCCCCTGGTCCTTGAAAGCAGGCTTCCAGGTACACACCCGCAGCTATGAGTGGAAATCTTAGGGTGTCCTGTGGGGACCTGAGGCCTGCAGGGGCCTTCGGGACTCCAGGGAGCAGGACTGGCCTGGCTCGTGGCTCCTGGTCAAGGCTGAGGCACCTGCCTGGGACCTGCTGGGAGCTCCAGCCCAAGCCGAGAGGGGTCCGCAGGGAGAAGGCTCCTCTGGAAGGACGGCCGCTGCTCTGGGGACAGGACAGCGGGGCAGTGAGCACTCTCAGGACAGAGAGGTCTGAGTCCCCTCCCCCTTCTGGGCAGATTCCCACTGCCCTGAACCTCAGCCACACCCTTCTGGGAAGCGGGGTTTKYGCMGCCACTGAAGGTCACTGGGTGCACRGAAAGTCGCCTGGTCCTTCCCACTTCCTTCCTTCCCTTCACAGCCCACTGCTCTCTTCCACAATGCGCACCTGTGGGCACCCTGCCGCCAGGCTGTCACCTCAGGGCCTTCTCAGAGCCCAAACTTCAAGCAGAATCGAGAACAGAGGCTGAATGAAGTGACCAGTGACGTGGACTAGTGAGCACCGGCCCAAGCCAGTGTGTAGCCACCTCTGCCCAGCGCTCAGCGGGCACTGCACATGAGTCCCTGGCACTCTCCGGCTCCGGGGCCTGGGCTCCAGCGTCAGCCTTGTTCCGGCAGCCTCCAAAGCTCCTCTGTCCTGCAGCCCCTGAATTAGACCTCGTCGCGGCCAGGGGGGGCACCTTCTCCTCCCACTGTGGCCAGGGAGGGCATCCTTCTCCTCTCACTGTGGCCAGGGAGGGGATGTTTCTCCTCTCACCGTGCCCGCAGCCCTTGCCCACGCCCAGCACACACCTGGGGGTTCACAGACTATTAATTACAAAGAACCAAGGCGGGGGTTGGCGAGGGGCGGGATCACCCTTAAAATGCAGAGGCTGCTTGGGCAGGACCCCCCACCCCGATGGCCCTGGAGACAGCCGTGGGAGTTCAGCGCTGGCTGTCCCCAAGCCACAGGAGGACTGCTGGAGAAGCCCCTGGTCACGGCTCAAGACCCCAACCACGGCAGTCTCTGCAGCAGGTCGGTCCCCCAAAGCTGTGTGTGTCTCAGCAAGACGAGGTCTGTTATTAGCCTGGGCTCCAAAGCCAGAGCCACCCACGTCTTCCCAGGCACTTCCACGGCGGGGCAGGGCGGGCGCTGTGAAGCACAAAAGCCAGTGCTGTCCCCACCCCACCCCAGATGCCTCTCCTCCAAGCCACATTCCACTTAGAAAGGCAAATTGCTGTTTTCAGATTTGTCCCTTGTCGTCAAGTGAGCTTTCCTCCACTATGAAAATCACTGTGGCCCAGGACAATGGCACCTAACAAGTCCCAAGAGGAGCCAGGTTCACAGGAAAAAAGACAGGGGCTGCCAGGGGCTGAGGGGCGGGGGGAGAGAAAGCTCTGGAGATGGCAGGTGGTGACACTGCAGGACAATGTGAACTGGTTAGGAGGGTACATTTTATGTGATGCATATTTTACTACAATAAAAAATACATTTAAGCTGGGTGCGGTGGTGCACGCCTGTAATCCCAGCAACTCCGGAGGCTGAAGCAAGAGGATGGCAGGTTYGAAGCCAGCCTCAGCAATTTAGGAAGAACCTGTCTCAAAATAAAAAATTAAAAGGGCTGGGCTGGGATATAGCTCAGAGGTAAAGTGCCTGGGTTTAATCCCTAGTGCAAAAACAAACAAACAAAAAACACTTCCAAAAGTTAGTGTCTGTGGGCCACCTGCCCACAGGTGTTAGGAAAGGAGCCGGTGCTCTGCCCAGGAACTCAGTGTTTCAGCCATTGCTGTTCTGATCACTAATCTGAGCACTGGGAAGAGAGGAATTTGGTCACTGTCTTTTTTTTTAATATTTATTTTTTGGTTGTAGTTGGATACAATACCTTTATTTTATTTATTTATTTTTATGTGGTGCTGAGGATCGACCCCTGGCACTTGCTAGGCGAGTGCTCTAACCCTGAGTCACAGCCCCAGCCCCTGGTCACTTCTTCTAAGATGTCCTTGCAGAACAGCCAGACAGGAGGCACGAGAGATGACATGGGACTCCAAACGGGAAAAGTTAAAATGTTCAGTAACTACGCAAACTGTGACCTTTTAAAAAGAATAA